ATCAAAATATTAATTCAAAAACATTGTACACAAATAATATATAATGTTTTTGAATTTCTTAAATCTTTAATTTTATTAATTAAAATACTATTCGACATGTTAAAGAAAAAGATCTCAAAAAGAATTTTTTTTTTTCAAATATAATCCATAATATTTTTTTGTTATTTACGCTTTTAAAAAAAGTTAATCAGCTAGTTGGTTAGTTGTAATAAATTAATTCATCTAATTTTTTCAATTATCATTTCGATGATAAATTAACTTTTTTTTTAAGGATCATTTTTCATGCACTCATTTATTTCTTTTTAAGTAACACTTCAATGATAAATTAACGCATTCATTTTTTTTAAATGCCACTTTGATGATAATTTATTTTGTTTAACTTTTTTCTTCTCCTCTCTCTTTTTTCTTTTTTTTTTCAAAAAAGAAGAAACCTTGTTTCTGGTTCACTAAATGCGCTTTCACCTTGGTATAAGTATGAACATGGATTTTCACTTGAACCAACTTCTGAAATTTTTTTTATAAAACAAACTTATCGCTTTTCCTTTGCTCTGTGTTTTTTAATTTTTCTTTTATTTTGTTTTTGATTAATCTCATTAGCATATTTGTTGCGTTATCAGTTGAATTCAATTGCCTCTATTTTTATTACAAATTATAACAAAAGAATCGGGTCATTGTGTAATGCCCGATTGTTTTTTTTATTTTTTATTTTTTATCCCAATAACAATTAAAATAGACTAATGATTTCAGCAAATCTAAAGAAATCTCTATCATTAATCATTAAAAATTCAATGATTTAATCATCCATTCATACCACTATCACTATACAGTGCAATTTTTTGATTTTCTTATTGCAAAAAGAAAAGGAAAGAAAAAGATGAGGAATGGAAGGAAATCAAACCTGCCCAGTGAAAATCGAAATTACGATTTAAATCGACCCCTTCGCAACATCGTCGCCCACCCCACGGTGAACGTATACACTTTTGCGGCGAACGATTCTTGCGCCATAATCGGACCTATAAAATGAAATTGATATTGCAATTAATTCCGTTCAAAAGTGTAAAAAGACATCTTTATTGTATCGAGTGTTATCATAACAATGAGAATTGTATATTGTAATTTAAAAAATTTTCTTCAGATATACGATTAAGGACACTGCATACAATAAACAGCAGTATGCAATACATAGTATGAAGTATGATTAAGAATACTTCATACTTTGCATATTGTTATTGTATGAGTAATTTGTGCAGTAACTGTATGAGTATTATTATAGCGGATATATGCGATAATTAATTGAATTCAATTAAATGAAGCGTAAAAATGCGTGTATATATATGTGTATGTGTGTGTGTGTGTGTGTGTGTGTATGTACATATGAGTGCCTATTTTATGAATATACTTATAACAACAAATATTATATAGTCGTATTGAACTTTGTAATTATTCCATGAAAATAAATGATTGATAAAGTAGCAATTAATTGAAATTTAATAAATCCATATTTACTCAAGTATCCAAAAAAAAAAAATTAAGAACCTGAGGATTTGGTTTTGATCGTGTATATTCATAGCCATCCGGATTCAAGCATGGAAAAATGTAAATATTGATAGATCTTAGATAACGTGTTATAACCGGATCCTTTCCGAATCCTGAGACCAACTGAAAAAATTTTCCATCTGTTTTGTGCATTTTCTCCCTTCTCAATTAAATTCTCTAACTTCAACAAATTTTGAAATGAAAATTTTATGTAAAATTGTATTTAAAAAATTGCAACTTTCTTCTATCTTTTTTTTGAACGTATCCAAATTGATAATTTTTCCTATTTTGCTGTTATTTGAAAATATTGAAGAAATAAAATCAGAAATTATTCAGTCAAAATATATAAAAGTTAAATGAGTTACATGTCAAAATCATATTTTACAATAAGAAATTAGCAAGAAAACATCTCATCATCGATTATAATAGCTGAGATTGAATTTTTTTTTTTAAATCTGATAATATTAGGCAATGATTTGATGTTATTATGACTTTTGAATCTTTAAATGGGCATGCATATGACATACCTGATTAATAAAATATAATGCAGTATGACTCGAAGCCCATTCTCTTGCATGAATATTACCATCAATCCAAAATGCACGTTTGCTGATATCGTTTATTGGATAACCAATCTTAAATAGAACTGAATAATTTCTCTCATTTCATATATTTCATTTGTCACGCTAATTGCTTGCTTATTTGTAAGCTATCATACTTATAAATTATTTATAAAAAATATTTTATTATTTTTATAGTATTAGCTAATTGCTTTATTGTTTATTAATTTTTATGTCATTGATATATTAATTTCTATCATTCATATATTTCAATTTTTACTTTTTTTTTTAATTCACTCAAATTTGCAGTGATGATAATATTTGTTAGCAGCATGATAAAATATCATTGCTTCAATTTTTTTTTTTAAGAAAAACGAAAAGTAACCATTGCCTCCTATTTCTAGTTTTTACATTAATTCAAAAACGAAAAGAAAAAAATTTGTCGACCTTTAATCCTTCAATTGGCGCACCTTCATGTGACACACCAATTCGTACAAGTTTTGTTATGTGTGGATAATAAAATTCGATAGTGCGCATATATTTTAACATATCCTTGTATGAACCGTAATCACCAAAACGATATTTAACTTTTAAATTGTTTACTTTTCTTAATGATTCTTCTGAAGCAAAAAAAAATGCAAA